TATATATACTAGATTGGAGCACAGCCGGCCCTAGTCCAGTCTATAATTATATCTAGTATTTGTAAAATTTTTAAAACACACTTGCCAACATTTTATGGAGCAACCAAAATGCCACATATTTTTTAGTTTGTTCAAAATGTTTTTCACAAATATTTTTTTTTTCAACAATTTTTTTACCACTCTTATGACTCATTTGTCTGTAACATTCAAACAAATTTCTTAAAATAATTTATACTCTAAATCATTCTCATTCCTCGGTTTATCAGAACCTAATAAAACATAGGTATAAAAATTGACAATTTTATGGTACACTTTGTAGGGGAGAAGGCCCCCCTACAACTTTGTATTGCCATGAAGGATCTAAAACTGCTTCCAACTGTTGCACCAGCTTCTGTTTTGTTAACAAGAGATCAACACCACTCGACAATCAATTTCAGATTGACATTTATCGTTCTCATACCCTTCTAAACTAACAAAGCTAGAAAGTAGCTCAATTAAATTATAAACAAAAGAAATAAGATGTGGATAAATTACAGTAGCTGCGACTCTTCCACTCATCCTGGTTCCCAAGACAAACTGTTCCCTCAATGCAACAGATTCAATGAAGCTACGCAAGCTCTTTTAAGTCATTTTGTGATAAATAAATTCACCTAAAGTTGTAATGAAAATTAAACAAACAAATACAGATAAAATTATCATATAAAATTTTGAAAAAGAAAAAAAGTGCTAAGCGTATAAAGAAAAATGCAATTTAACATGGTCAAGAGGCAAGTGAAAACATCCCACAGGTTGGCAGCGTGGCAGATTGCACAATGACAACAACAGAATATCCATTAATTTAAGAGGGTGTAAAATTAAGTGAAAGATTACAACAATACTGGAATTCATAATACTTCAACACAAATATTCTTTTTTTTTAAAAAAAAAAAAAAAAAAAATGTGCAAAGCAAACATAATTGTAATATTTAACCAAAATAATGATAGATAGGGGTCTATACTTATCAATTTTTCCTTAGTCATCAAATGAAACTAAAGCTAACAAAAAAGAGATACAGAACCCAACGAACAATGAAGAAATACAACCTCTCAAAGGACAATGATCTAATTGGATCCTCAATGACATTGATGCCGATGGAAAACATGAGTCGGATACATCCGCTCAATTATCAGAAAAAATACAAGAAGTAGAAAATAGCCCCAGGCACGAGCCTTCTACAACCACTCCATCTTTGAAGTATTCAAATAACAAAGATTTTTCCTCGTTAATTTAAGGATTGCAATAGAAGCCAAACCAAAAACCGAATCAAAATAAGATGAACTAAACGATCATCATCGAACCAAAAAAAGAGTCACACAAGGTAATCAAAGTCTTATATAAGCCAAGCGATCTACCAAATCCTTGAAACAAAAGAGAAGAAAACAAAGAACGAATGAAAAAAAGTATTACAACACCAACTAAAATAATGCATAAAAAATAACACAAAGGGTACCTCTCATTGATGCTCTCCCGCCTCTCTCTTTCCTCACGGAATCATCACCACCTGATTTACCTTTCTTCTCACCATCACCATCCCCATATCACTCTCACTCGCAGTCTTCCACTCGGAATCATCACTCGTGTCCACATCCATCACTGGGCCCACCCTCGCACAAATGCCGCCATGCTTAGCGGCAGCTTCCCAAAATAGCCACGCGGCCCTCATTTGTTTCCTCACGAGTTGCGCAGCATAATCCGAGATCTTTTTCTGCCTCAACGAAAGTCTGAATCAGCCTAGAGGGAAAATTCGTTCACAAACAGAATTGCATCCAGAAGGCTCTCCTTGGTCATCTCGGGCATGTCGAACGCCTGGGCCCGCCTCGACAGGCTCCTCCCGTAGGTTTTAGCCGCCAACAACTTTTGCAGCAACAGGTGGCACTGGCCCGATTCATGTGAAGTACAACTCTCTCTTTCGGGCCCAGTGCCACCTGTTAATCTTATAAAGTAAGAACTAATAAGCAATCAACATCTCATGAGCTTAACATTGTAAAATAAACATTTAACTTGTTTTTTTTTTAAGTTATTTATTCAAATAAATTTTATTCTATTACAGTATAGCACTATTCTAAAAATGTCTAGGCGGCCGAAGCCATTAAAACTGTTTCGGCCCAAATCAATTATTCCATATTACCCCCAAAGCAAATTTATTTTGCAAATTGACCAAAATCACACTTGTAAAAATAAACATATGAATAAATCTCAAGCAAAGTAGAGAATCAGTCTGCAATCAGTCTAACATTGAAACTTTTTTGTTCCAGTGAAAATATGTATTTGCTCGAAATCTTCTATAGAAACTCAAACAGTAAAACGTAAAAATTATAACTATTATTGAGTCCTCACACACAAATGATTATTCCGTAGACATACTGAACAACAATATCTTGCGTGTGTAAAGACAATGGTATTTATGTAATGTATATCTCTACAAGATCAAGATTCATGGTTAGTCGTGTAAACGATCATTGAAGAAGACTTGCTCATACTTGAAAGAGGTTAGGTATTTCAGGAGAAAATTAACTTTAACCATCATACATACTCATATACTTAAAGGATACATTGCAAAAATACCCCTGAATTGCCTAACCACAAAAATGATCCAGACTACCGGTTCATATTAAAAAAATTTGGGTACCCCTTTTGCAATTTTTTCGCTTACATACCAGGAAGGTGTATTCGCATTTTTTTAAGTGTGCTTTTTGGAGATGACTGGCTATTATGACCAAATTTCAGGGGTGATCAGAAGAAGCCGTGTCACTTTTGGATTTGATTTTTTGCAATTATCCAAAGGTTTCAACTGAGACACGAAATTCATCTAGTATTTTACAACAAGTAATATTTTTCTTACCAAAACCCATCTGAGAAGTGTTACATACATCAGGTAGATGAGGACTCCCTTCTTGGACGCATATAATTTGCGAAAAGCTCGACAATGCATTATTTTTACCAACATCCTGTAACATTTTATATTTAATCTAAGTGATATCATCGACATCTGAAAAAATAGAGTTTTAACAAATTTAGAGTAATAATAACCATCAAGCTTCACGGGGACTTACCAGGTGCACATCGGTTACCAAAGAAAAGGACATGGCAATTCAACCGTAGTAAGACACACAAATGAAAAGGTTAAGTATGATCTTTAGTCTCATACCAAAATATATAAATCATAAAATGACTGAGTCAACATGGCAATACATGAGCATAAGTAAAAAAGAATACATCTTGCTGCAAGTTCGACAAAAGACATAGAATAAAATCAAAATTGACGAAAGAAATATATATTCATCGATTGGTAAGTTCATACCAGCTACATATAGCTCAGGGAATACCTCCATAATGTTGGCTTTAACTCCGTATGACGTTCTTCAGTATCACGGGCCAGCAGGAGACGGCATGAGAAGTTGTGGAAAAAACCCCTAATATCCTTCAAGTTGGTCTTGGCAACGACCATATCAGGAAGTGAAAGTAGGGCCGAAGAGCATGAAGAACATATAATCATGGGGGGGCGGGGGGGTTTAAAATTGAGAGAAGCTTGCACTCTGCTGCGTGTGTGGAAAATCGAAATCTCAGCACAGACAAAACCACGAAATTAATGCCTTTAGTGCGTGTTTGCTTGGTGGGATGGGATTGGATTAAAATAGTGCAATAGTATAGGATTGTA